CCTACAGAAAATGAAGGCGGAAGCAGGCCAGGTTGTTCTGGAACTAATCTGCCCCTACAGAGGTCTTGACATCACATCACGCTTGCCAACGAGGGACTACCTGTCTTGTGTGCTTAATTTCTTAGGGAAAATTAAAGACATGCAAACCAGATGATTTTCTTGAATTTGTTTTGCGTGACGTGATGCAGTTAAAAGGAAGCAAACTTTAATTTTTAGGGGTTTGGTGTGGTTTTTTGGTTTGTTTTGGATTTTTTTGGTTTTTTTTTTTTGGTCTTACTGATGGATCATGACTTGAGGCAGGGATTTGTATGTGGTGGTGCATAGTGTCTGAACATTGAAATATTCTGAAAAATCTTAGTTTGCTGCAACTGTGACATTAACAGGGTGTTGAGGAAGATTGTGGAATGTCTGTTTTGTGGTTAGGTTGATAAGTAGCACTCATTTGTTCGTTGTTGTCATTCAGAAATGTTTGTTTTCTGTTTTGTTGACAACTAGCAAAACTAGTCCATCTGGAATGTGAAAACTTAGTTTTAGAACTCCTCAACATCAAATGTTAATAATGGTCCAAGGGTTTTTGACAAACCTTCTTTTTTTGGATATTAAAAATTCTGATGTTTTTTATTTTTAGTTAGTGTTTACACCTGTCCATTCCTGTTACCCAATGACTCTACATTGCTAAGAGAGCAAGAGCAGGGTTCTATTTTAGATTGTAAATCACCAACAAGATGATTTAGGAAGGATGTGGACATACAAGTGAATTAGTTGTTTAATTACTCTGCTTCCTCTGTGATGAGGTAACTCCTTTCCCTGTGTGCTGTGGCAGAAGGGTAAGCTAATTTTGTTTAGTTTGTCTCAAAATAAAAACATGCCCAAGTGAGCTGAGTTGATTTGTGGTTAGTATGGGCTAAGAATGTGCATATGGACAGTTGCAAGTCTGCTGAGCAGCAGGGTGGTGTGGAATAGGGGGACAACTAAAACTGGTATTTGAGCCCTGAGTTCTAGATACCCTCTCCTCAACTTCATCTGCACAGCCCAGGGTTGAAAACAACACATTGTCGGTCAGGTTCTTATTGTAGGTTGGAACACAATTTAATTCCTAGATAAGTCACGCAGAGATTGCAGGGCTGATAAATGAGAAATAGTAACTCTTTATTTTGGTAATGACCAGATTTTTAAGTGTATTTCCCTTAACTGTAAACAGAACCTCAGACTGTCACTTCTGCAAAACTTTTTCTCAAAGTAAGACTACTTTGCAGCAGAGCTATCGACATCATTTTCAGTGGCAGGTGTGTGGTAGCATGAACCCTCCTGTGTTTTCAGAAATGACAAGCTCAAGCCCTGTACTCCTTAAGCTTACCTGGCGTAAGTGTATATAACCTTCACATTTACGAAGGAACGTGTTAAAGTGTTGTCTCATTTTTAGCTTCAGAAGTAACTGCAAGAAGTAACGGAAGAGAAGGCAAAATGATGCTTCTGAAGAGCAAAACTGTATTTTTTAAATTTCTTTTAGCACTCCAGATGCAAAGTGGGTGAAATTCAGTATTGACACAGCATGCTGTGAGCAATGGAAGAAATTTTGTCTTCTTCCAGAGAGAATCAATCTGGCCATGAGAGCATTGTGGATCAATAGAAACTGCTGTCTCCCCTCTGCAGGCAAAAAAAATCTGTAAAAAGTCATCTTGTGATCCTCATGGTCCTCCAGACTGGTCTGTTTTGTGTAGATATACTGCATGTAGTGCTTCATAAGCATGGAATTCTCTCTTCCCAAATTCAACACTGAAGAATTTGCCTTGAATTTCTCTCTGATTTCTTTTCTACTTTTGGTTTCTTACATTTGTTGTTGTAAATTGGGAGAAGAGTCAGAGCATGGAAAATATATGACCTGATGGCTTTTTATGTCTTGGGAGGAAAAAAGGTGTCTGTTTCTGTGCCTAGCCCCCTTTTTCTCTTACCACGTAAAGGGAACACAAGACTGTATATCTTTGGAATCGGGAAAACTGATCCGTTTGCTGCTGCTATCTAACTCTGTATCATTCCTGTTAAAAGGTTGGATTTTTTTTTTAATGTAGTTTTATATAAATGTTATATAAACTTTTTATATAACTGTATTGGAGCAGAAGGAACATGATCATGTTTCAGATCTTGTAAAAGGCTGAACTCATCTTGTGTGCTTGAATACAGAGCATAGCTTTGATTAGGATGAAGGATAAATTCCAGAAAGAACCTTAACTGTTTCCATTTTTCCCCTCTGGTGAAATATATCTGATATCCTTTAATGTGAATGGTAGCAAATATGTGGCAGAATGAATAGCAATGCTCTGCCTGCTGAAGTTGAATATTTGAAAGGGTATGAGTATCAAAAAAAAAGAAAGCAGGAGGCTGGATCAAGGTTTTTGCTGAGTACAGGTGCTCTCTTGTATTTGGAATTAAGCTCAATTTACAATACCATTTTATGGGATGTTATCACTACTTTAAAAATGGTACTGTATTAGATTTCTTGAAGTAGGTAAAGCCAGAGTATAGGGCTAGAACAACATGCAAATGTTTTATCTGAAAGGAAAACATTGTAAATATTTCATTATATCATCTTCATTTCAAATAGTTTCATAAGGGGTGCTCATTTGTGCATGTAGTACTAAGTCAGCACTTTGACAATCAAAAATTCATACTTGACACCTTCTTTTCCTCTTACACTGTACTGTGTAACACCCAGAGTGAGTAGGGGTGTAAGATGATGGTGGAGGCATCATGTGTTTCTGGCTTTAGAGAAAATATTTCAGCCATCTCAAACATAATTTGAAGTATTTTTTGTGCTTCCTTTTAAGGTAGTGTGAGTGTTTCATAATTTAGAACATAGAATTCTCAAAACACTTTTATGGGACAGCACTATTGTCCTATTTTTACAAATAACTACTTTGTCTTGCTTCCCTAGGTGGCTTGCTCAAGGTTACACAAGAATCCTCTGTAGGAACAGGGAATTATATCCACATGTTTGATGTTTAAAACTTGAAATCTGGTTCTTGGATTACCCTCTCCTAACAGAAATGAAAGAACTATACCTTTCCTGTCATTCTACTGAAATTAATTAAATTACGAGTATTAATACTCTGAATTTGATCAATGCTTTTAATTCTGTTTACTGCTTCTTTTTGTTTTTAGGCATGTACTGGTATTGAAAATATTGATGAAGCTATAACGTTGCTTGAACAAAATAACTGGGATTTAGTGGTAAGTATTCTAAGAAAATAACTTCATAGATCAACTCCATGTAACAGTGATGTGCCATCTTGCTATTATCTTTATTTCAAAGTTGGGGGTGTCTTTTACGGCTGGGGGAAGTAAGTTAATGTGCAGGTTGTTTCTGGTCTGTTAAAGCCTCATTGCCATGTTAGGGTGATACTGAGTTGTCTATAGCCTGGTATGCTCTGATTGTCTTCATGCCTTTTTCTTTTGTTTCTTTTCCTTTAAATCAATGTTTCATAGTGTGTTTCCTTTTTGGTTAATTGCATGCATAATTTTGTAAGTAGTATAATTAAGGGTAGCGTTTTTAGAAGATATCTTGTGTATACGCACAAGATTTTTGAGGATTTAGGTGCCTGTGGAAGAAATGGAAGGTAAACCAGTTTCAATCTTTCACAAGCTTTTAGTTTAAAAATAAGATAGTTGCTTTTCTGTTGTTAGTTGTTATGCAGAATTGAGTCAGAGATTAAGGCCATACCTTATTTAGATTTAGTGTTAGCCAGACACACGAACAAAAACGCCAGCTAACTAACTCATCCTAAAAAACCTATTGTCTATCTTGTAACAAGGTTCAATGTGCAGACATACAGGAGGAAACCAATAAAAGAAGCAAAACAGTCTTAGGTATTTTAAGACTTTGCATAGGATTATCAGGATAAATAAAGAAACCATTAATCCATTTTCTTAAGGGTTAAAAATATAAAATAAGCAATCAATTAAAAAGCAAGTGATCTTCCTTTAAACTGTAATACCTTTGATATCCTCCTTTTTTTTTTTTTATTCTTTCCAAATGAGTGGTCTTTAGACCAGTCCAAATCATCAGAAAATTATTAAAAATAAATAAATAAATTAGATTTTCTGAAATTGACTATGAATACAATTTCAACTGTCTGCCACATTGTGTTCCCAGCATATTGTTTTGAGTGTTCTCTATGTTTTAACAATTACAAACTAAATATCAGAGAGGTCAGGGTGGGGTTTTAAACTGAGTTTGTTAGAATGAATATTCGGGTTTTTTTAAGGCATATTGTAAACAAACGCTATGTACTCCAAACACTTGAAACTAAATGTTTGAAATGAATGTTGGCCAACGTATATGGAGTCTTTATTTTGCAATATGTCATGGTATAAGCAAGAATGAGACACCAGTCAGCAAAAGGGAGTGCCTATCGTCAGTGCATTCAAACAGAAAAACCCGAATGTATGTTGACGGTGTGGTAGAGTTAAAAACATCTTTTGTTGTAGCAGTTTGTTGTGACTTAGCATGGGCTGTTTTGCAAATTAAAGTGTTTTATAGGAAGGCAAGGATTAGCCTTATGCATTCTGTTCAGGTTGTAGAGTTCTCAATAGAATTTATTAAATCAGTTGTATGTGGTTTTGGGGAATTTATAAATTGTAAAGTATATACTGTACAGTAAATGCTCACAGGTGGGGTTGAATGAGAGAATTGTGATGAAAAATGATAAGAACAACTGAGGGGATTTGTTTTGATTTTTCTTTTTAATTTATTTTATTTTAGGACCGCAGAACAAGCAGAAAGGGAGAGCAAGTGAAGTATTTAAAGCTATGAGAATGGCTATGAGAATAGCCTTAAATACTTAATTTTATTAGCGATGATTAAATAATCTGTAAGTAGAATATAGGGGGAAAAGAAATAATGACCCAAAAATGCAAGCTTAAAAAAGGCATATGGAAAGTAAGAAAGGAAAGAAAATTAGGGATGTAAAAGGTACTTCAGGAAAGTACATAGTTCTTGAAACTAAACAGAAGATGAATGAGAGGAGTGTCTATGAAAAGGAAGTGGTAAGTTGTGGAAGAAAAAAAATTAAATGGGGAGAGTAAAAGTGAAGATGATGCCCTAAGAGTCTGTTATTAGTAGGGCACCAGCTCCTTTTTAGTAAAAGCAGCTGTTGTGTAAAAAAGGGAGTGAAAATCAAATCATGCAAATCTAACAGGGAGTTAAAAGCAGAAGAGTGAAGAAAGAGGAGAGAAGACAAAAGAAACGTAACTGTAAGAAGAGGAGGAAGTAGGATGAGAGGGAATCAAACGTCTTTTTGTTAGGCAAGGGATTTAAGCATTTCATAAGTCAAAACAGTGTACGAAAAAAGGCTCATGACTTATGAGAAATGTAGCATTTTTTATTTTAAAATTAAAAATGTAGTGGTCTGTGGCTTATTGCATAGGTCTTCTATGTGTAGTGGGCATTTTTTGTTTGGGATTTGTTTTTCTTTAATACCTTTGGTTCAGTAGTCAAGTACAGATTCAGTGCCAAGAAACTGGTGAGGAGGGAAGGCTTTGTTTTGATTGAACCAAAAGGTCTTGGAGGTTTTTTTTAGCTGAGATGAAAAATTAAAAAAATCCTTTTGCTTGGCACTAAATATTTCATTTAACGCAGAACAAAACCTTTTTTGGGGTTTGTAAGGAAGGCAAAATTTGTCAGACTTGGTTCACAAATCATGAAGACAGTAGTGAAGTAGTAATGAGTTTGCAAAGAGTTCCTCTATCATCCTTTGACCACCAATCTGTTGGGTAAACAGGAAGAACGTCATCACTGTCTTCTCTAATTTCACTTAGTTTTGTGCATCTTATTCAGATGCTCATCAGGTTCAAGTTTTTGATAAACATAACCTGTAGTAGTAAAATGAAGTCATACAGGTATTCAGAGATTTTTGGGGGGTGTGGGTTTTTTTATGGATTCTTTTACTTACATGATTTTGGAAGTAGAATCAGAGCTCTGTATTTGATCAGGAAAGCTTCTGATCAAATACAGCTGCTTCTGTGAGGCAGCCAGGGTAATATGAAGTAGAAAGCTAACCAAGTCCCATTAGGATGTGATCAACCTAAGCTCAGGGGCACTTTTGCAGCGTTAGTGAAAAACCAAAAACATAAGGAAGTTCTTGTCTTGAACAGATTGTTTTCTTGCTCTTCATTCAGACTGTTTGTATCTCAATTCCACTTTCCTGTTTGGAGAAAAAGCTGTGCACTATCAGAGGCTGTCCTAGGGACCCAGGTGGAAGATTCCCTTGAGTACCTGTTGCTTCTTGAACTCTGTGAAGCTCAACTCAAGGGTGTTGTTATTTCTCTGGGACTTCAGCAAAAACAACCAAGAGCAAGTAGTCCTGGTGTTGAAAGCAGAAGGATCCCAAAACAGAAACAGCGAGGTACTTACTGACATAAGCTGACGGAGAAGCACATCAGAGTGCACAGGGACAGCAGAGGTTATGTAGTTCACAAGAGAGGTTTCTAATGTCATGCTACACATACTGTGTTTTTGTGTAAGCTTCTTTGAGGATTTCTCTGTTTGCACTGATGCAATATTCCTCCTGCTTATTTTCTCCATACTTTTTTTTTTTCCCCCTGGTCTTGCTAGTAGATTTTAGTATCAAGGGCTAAAATGCCACCAATGTCTGTCTTGTTACTTCAGTGAGTGTTGCTGTGGTCTGTATCTTTTAGACATTTGGTCTTATCTTTAAACAAAGCCAAACCTGAGTGAAGTGTAAGGAACTCCTTTCTTGTTTAGTTTTTCTAATAGCTACTTATGGTTTTTATTAAGAATTAATCTGAATTAATTTTTCAGTTTAGAACTGAAACATCAGCTTGCTATTTTTGAACTTTTACAGATTACCCACCCCCAATTAGAAGTCATCATGTCTATTCCTCTGTGTGGGATACTTTAGCACAATATAAATTGCCATTAATTTATCTTCTACTTACAACTAAATAAATCTGATTTAAATGTCTCAGAGCTGTTTGTTTTGCAGCGTTCAAATCATGTTTGCCACTGTGTGAAATGATATAGGAAACTGTCTTTCATAAATGTTTGGTTGCTAGGCTTTGTTCAAGTGCTTAAAGTCAAATTGATCATGAGAGTGCTGCAGAGGAATTCATATGCGCTAACAGCGTATAAAATACTTGGTGGGATCACGAAGTCTAATCTTGACAATAATTAGTTCTCTACTGTTGCATATGACTTGGCCTTTGTGGCGGTCTGCTGCATGTATAGCGGCTTAGGGTTTTTTTTCTGTATTAGAACGCTGTAGCCTAATTTCTAGGCTTATTATATGCTGAGCGCTGAAATGTTACAAATCTTCTGTAAGATACAGAAGATCAATACGGAGAATATAATCATCTCTTCAAACCTTCATCTTTATGAAACTGTTCTGCAATAAATGGATCCAGCAGCTCTTCTAGGCCTGCCAGGATTGTTGATACATGACTTCCAGAGTGTCATTTCTTTTGGAATCTATTAATTTACAATCATTTTTAACATGTGAGGAAGCAAAAGTTAGGAATTTCTGTCTGTTGTAAAGTCTGATGGTTTCATAGCTTGCCCATTTAAACTACGACCTTCTGTTTTGGCATTTGAAGGTAAGAATGACAGTATAAATGTATCTTAAATTTTGTGTAAAGACAATAAAATAAAAGTATGAAAAATCCCAACTATGTGTCTTTTGAAATGTTTCTGATGATGGTACATATTTGAAGGAAATGACCCATTAATGCAAGAATCTGTAATGTAGTTCTTGGCCCTATGCAATATGGACCTTTGTATATATGGTGTTCTTAGGTAGGTGATAGCTCTTTGCTCTCCTGATATCAAGTGCTTGTATCTGCACATAAAACTTGGTCTCCTGAACCTTTCACAGATTTACTGAAAAACTCAAATCCTTCATATATAGTGTGACTTTATATTCTGTGCTGGTAATCAGAACAGGATTTTTGAATGAAAAGCAGGATTCACCATGCTTAATTTTCTATTTTTTCCAGTATGACCATTTCTGTTGTTACTCCTGTTCACTGATTTAAAATTATTCTTATTTCATGTCTTTTCCAATAGACATTGTAATGTAGGTACTGCTTAACATCGCTTTAAGAAGAAAATAAATTTCATCAAAATAAAGGAGGCAGGTTATACCATATTCATATCACTATAGATGTGTGCATAATGATTATAAAAAACCCAACCAACCAACCAAACCCAAAAACCA